CTGACTTTCACTTGCATACTCAGCTTGGTTTGTGGTCCTGCTGCACACTTGCTGTTTCATGACGCAAAGCAGAGAAGGAATAGACAAGTTCACAGAACAAATTCCCATTTATACCGTAGCAGCAACTTGTCAAAAGAGATGCGTTAGGAGGTTACAGGTGTCAACTCCAGCAACACTGAGTCAATAAGTGCTCATGGTCCTCTGTGCTGTGTGCCAGTACTTTTTACAGTTGTTCCAAGAAATGGATAATAGCTACTTGAACTTGACTAGATCTTGAATTTTTGAAAGGCCACGCAGTAACTCTAATAAGGAATTCTTTGTTCAAGCAGAAAAGAGGAGGAGGAGCATTGAGTATCTTCTGTGACTCTCTAGACTCATCTAGTCAAATGACAAATACTTACTTTCCTAAGGGTTATTGACAAAATACTGTGCATGTTATTTTTTGAAAATAGCAGGTACTGCTGTCACATTTTACCTGGGAAAATGCTAGTCACATCACGTATTTTAAACTAGTTTCTCTAATCAATGTATAACTGATTACTCATATTTAATACTTTTTTTTTAATAGCTTTCCATTGAAATTGGAACAGAAGTTAAAAACCAAAATAAAATGTTATCAGAAATGGTAAGTGTTTAGTTACCAACTTTCTTTAAATATTGGGCAGGATTAAGAAGTTAGTAATGTAAAGCATTCCTCCTTTTGGTATGAACATTTGTATTAAAATGCTGACAGCTTATTGTTGACTGTAAAACGTAACTAATTCAGCAGCAGTATTTCTGTTCAAAAAGATAGATGTGCAAATGCATTACTTTCAAGTTACAACCAAGGTCTTTACACTTCAGATATGACCATTTATTTTTAATTAGCAAATGTATAGTATTATTAAAAAAGCAGTTCTATATTTAATTGTATTTAAGAATAGAAGAGGGAAGTAAAAAATAAGGAAGTCAGAAATGCCTTTTTTGCTTGCAGCCATCTGGATGAATGGACAAAATTTTTTCCTGGTTAATTTTCAGAAATTGCCTCTGAAATAATTTTAGTCCTTATAGTGGCCTTCCAGTACCTAAAGGGGCCTACAAGAAAGCTGAAGAGGGACTGTTTACAAGGGCATGTAGTGATAGGACAAGGGGTAATGGGTTTAAACTGAAAGAGGGTAGATTTAGACTAGATGTTAGGAAGAAATTCTTCACTGTGAGGGTGGTGAGGCACTGGAACAGGTTGCCCAGAGAGGTTGTGGATGCCCCATCCCTGGAAGTGTTCAAGGCCAGGTTGGATGGGGCTTTGGGCAATGTGGGCTAGTGGAGGGTGTCCCTGCCCGCAGCAGGGGGGTTGGAACTAGATGATCTTTGAGGTCCCTTCCAACCCAAACCACTCTATGATTCTATGAAAATTTGAAAAAACAGGAAAAACTACACTTCAGAAGCTTTAGGAGTAGTCTTTTTTCTTCTCAGAGTAACATGGTTTTTGTTGTTTGGCTTGGTTTTAAATGTAGGATAATGATTTTGACTCTACGGGTGGACTTCTGGGTGCAACTATGGGCAGACTGAGAATGCTCTCCCGAGGAAGCCAGACAAAGCTGTTATGCTACATGATGCTCTTTGCATTGTTTGTTTTTTTTGTAATATACTGGATTATTAAACTGAGGTGATGCATGTTCCCTTTGGTTTAAATTGTGTAATTTCAACTATAAAGCAGTCTTAATTAATGAAGACATTGATCTAAAGTGGCATATTCTGTTGATAAAACACAGTGAAATTGTTGTAAATTGCATTAACTATTAATGCAATGTTATATGTAGTTTTCTTAATGTATCAAAATCTTTCCCATCATCCCCTGTTTTGGGGGGGATTATTTGTAAATATGCGGAAACTGCTAGCATAGTAGGTTGCTTTTTTAGGGAAAACAGTTTTTAGAATTGATTTTAAAAATACAGAAAACAACAGTTGTTCAGATAGGAAGTAGTTGCAGAATTACAAGGCTTTCTCTTTCATTCTGCTTTTAATTCTGGGCCATGCTCTAAATTAGAGCTCCAGTTTCAGGCATATAGTAATTTCTAGGGTGCAAAAGCACAAAGAATTACTTCGATCTTTCTAAATTGGTTTTCTCTGTGGATTTTGAAAAGGCTGGCCTGAAGCTAACAAATGTAATAGTGGTACCCCCAAAAATTATTGTTGTGGAGAGGTCTGATACTGTATGTGTTAAAGTAGCTTAAACTGTGTGTTTTGGGAGAAGTTACTCAAAACTGGATTTTTTTAATTTAAATGTGACAAATCATGCTTGCACATCTACTCTTAAGCAAATGCCTTTGGTCATTGGGATCAACCAATACAGACATAGCACAAATGTTTTCTTTATATTTAAAGTATCTAAAACTTAATGATTCCATTGAATCACTAGAACTTCTACCATTAGTATATTTACTTTTCAATCTGTGATGATCCCTAAATTGACAGTGTGTGATGTCTGAAATATGAGGTCAGATATTTTTAATTTTATATTAAAGTATATTATGATGCACCTGTTGGAGGTGCTGTCATATTAAGGTTTTTTATTTTGAAGACTTAGCTTTGGATCACCAGATAGTTTCTAACAGTTGAAGCTATTACATTGCTGAGTTTCACATTCAAAAAATTGTTTTCTAAGATATTGAAATTGTATCTACAATTTCTGAAAACCTTTTCTAGAAATAATGTATAACATTGCCATTAATAACTAATTACAAACTGACAAATAAAGTGTCCTGTAGTATTCTAACTAGTGTTTATATAATTTTTTTTTCTACTGTAGAATACCAATGTATTTTTTGGAAATGGTGCTGCATTTAAGGGGCTACACTTGTGTGAGGAGCACTATTAAAATAAGAAATGGAGGTGCATGCTACATTTCTTTCATATTAGATTTCACATATAATGGAAATATGACATGTCAATCACTTATCTAATACAAAACATACAGTGTGTAAAAGTAATTAAAGCTCAAATATTTCTAGCTGATTTAATATTTGACTGTTAAAAGGTCTATAGTACTTCAACATTCTGTTATTTGTAGAAGTACTAATACCAGGATAATGCATTTTCTTCATATGAGAATTGCTAGGTTTGCTAAACAAGTACAGCATTGCCAAAGCTAGTCATTACGATATAGTTTGCCATCCAAAATTGATGCACTTGTATAATTTTAATGAGACAGTGGAGTACAAGATACCTAACAAGTGAGATGATAGTTACTGAAATAAATGTTTGACAACTACAGTTAATAGTTCTTCATCTTCTAGAAATATATAAGGACAATTGTCAGGTTTTTTGTTGTTGTCTAGATAGGGTGGGAAATGGGGAGGAAGATTAAGCACAAGGAATATATGAAGCCTCCAAACAACTTTCTACATCTACATGTTTAATAGAAAACACAAGGGCATTTTTAATTAAGTACTAAAAACATGGTTCATTAGGCTCTTTTAAAGAGAAGGTTCTGAATTGAAAGGTAACTGAAAGTTACATAGTCAAAACTGACTATTTCTGTGTTTTTATGTTATTTTATGAGATACAGCACCTTTCCTTTTCTTCAATTCCAGTAAAAGGTCAATTTTCAGTTTAAAATCTGAACTGGAATCCTGCAAGGCGATTTTATGTAAAGGTAAAACTGCTTTGAGAATATTTCACTCGGGGAAGGGGAATGGCAAGTGGTGGGCACCATGCATTGCAGCCTTAGAATTTTCCTCAGCAGCTGCACTTGCTTTACTGGTCATATTCAGGTAGAAAAGTTTTGCTCTGACTGACAGGACTTGAAATTCACAAATAGTTAGCAAGATTTCAGGATGCTACAGTATGACCTTATAGAATAAAATACACTATACAGTGGATACAATAGAAAAATACTAGTAGTATTAATTGTGCTTTTACAAAGTTGCAGTTAATAGCAGCTACATAAGAATACTGCTGTTATGATTATTCTTGGTTTTGAAATATTTTGTCTATAATTTTTACACAGTATTTTTATATTGCATTTCTCAGTTTACTGTAACTAAGACACTATCTAGCAACCATACAGATTATTTCCAGGTGGAAGGAAATACCATCTTTTGGCTATCAAACTGTTAACCTTACAGCATCATGGAGATTCCCTAGAAAACCCTTAATCAACACATCCATTTGATTACAAGGACAATTCCAGTGAAGGTTTTTTTGCAATAATACAGGTTGTCTCTTCTGGCTTAAATGGCTGTTGTAGGAAGAGTTTAAGTAATTGCACACAATTTTCATATTAACATGTTTATTTTTAGTCTTTTTCTTCAATAATTTCACACAAAACATGACACCTTACTGCTGAAGTTCAGGCCTCCAAAAGCTTCAGGTCCAATTAAACAGTTGTTTGTAGAATTCTACAAAAAGTCAACCCCCAGTCCCCTCATCAGACATCCATGACAGAATGCAGTACAAGTCAATGTGGACTTGGCAAAGATGACAGCTCATTGTGATGATTACTTGCTAAAAGTTAAAGTTAGGGAAGGTATTTGTAATTGAGAGCAAAATCACTGTTCCAGTATTTGAACGTGGCAGGGAATAATTTCTGCCTTAATTATTGATCTTGAAAGCAAAGCTACACTGAAATGAGATTAAGTTACTAGTGAAATCCTAGCTGTATCCACATGGAAGTTCTGTTTCTTAAGTGGTGGCTTAGATGCTCTCAATGTAGATATATGTTGATTAAAGAAAACATTTTTTCTGGGTCCTTACTGTGGATCACTAGACTCTTCAAAGCAGTAACCAACTGAAAACAACCTTGCAAGAGGCCACATGCTTTCAGACTGCTTCGTATCAACAGAAATTTGACATTGGAGAACACATAGAATGATAATGGTCAAAGACCTTGACAAGCATTTTGATAGGAAAATGAATGTTTTTGACTTATTTTACCCTTAAAACACATACTGGCTGTTACCTTTGTCGTGCAGTACAAGCCATGCTCTTGGTTTCTTAGTATTCAAGGAAGTGGAGATGTATCACTTGCTTGGAAGTGTTTCCATGTATTTGCATATGATGGAAAGCATGGTTTCATCTGTACCACCTCCTATTGACATTAATCTCAAGTCTCTGTAGAAATACAAAGAGTAGATTTAAACATTTGCATGCTATACCGATGGAACAAGTACAGAACTATGTGCCTATTTATTCTTCTATGCATTTATTATGGAGCCGCTTTTATTATATGGAAACCCCTTGTTTACAGAAGAACATAGATGGTGTGGACAAATGTGTTGTCAGTATCATAAAAACCCTTTTGTGTACAGGTATGTTGCTAATTCAAAAATCAAAAGGCTTACAGTATAATTTGACACATCCAATTTTCAGATTCTTTCAAAAATAACCTTAACTTGGCACAACACTGTATTTTCATCTTGAAATAAGTGAAAACCTCTCCTAGCATACAACTGCCCCTGCTTAAGCCTAGCCAGACCTCCTGCAGCTGAACTCCATACAGACTGCTGTTGAGGTGTTATCATTTTGGACTAACATATAAAGCATCACAGGCTCTTCACAAGGTTTTCTGCCTGACTGCACGCTCAAATGACTTACGTGTTACATCATACTAATGCAATTGTCTGCAGAACACCTCATCCTGGTGAGATGGTCTGCAATACTTCCCACAATGTCCCCGCTGTTCCTTTGCCAAAGCTGTAGGTGCCTAAATTGAATTTTAGGAGGGGAGGGAGCTTTAAGAGGGCCAGCGGCAAAGTGTTGCAGCACTTTGCTTAAGCTGTGTGGTAAAAAAGAGTATTAGTCAATCAGTACGTGAGGTATTGGAGAATTGTATGGAGAAGGTACAAATTTCATTCAAATTTTTTAACCAACAAGCATCCTGGTCTCCCTAATGACTATGTGAGATCTGGCATAATCTGTGTTACTATTATATAGTATCATAGTATATTATTATATTATTAGTATTATATAGTATTAGTATAGTATTATATAGTATATAAAGCTTCTCTGCTTTAAAAATGAATGGCTGCTCCAAGCTTATTTACTTTTGATATTTCTAATCACACTCATTTAAAAACTGCCATTAATATCACTGAGTCATCCCTAACAGTATTGCCTAAGTTCCCTGTGCTAGCCAGATTGCAAACTACTGCAACCTTAAGCAATTTTCTTCACAAATTTCTTTCCTCCTTTGGAGAGAAAAAAAAATCAAAACCAAACCCACCCCAAAACACTGAAACAGTTCTGCTAAACAACTTTTACTTAATTGACTAACCTGAAGACTCCCCACCTTCCTATGGGCCTTGAAGGCAGCAGAGCTAGAATGATGGTAGGTTGCTTGTTCTTCATGCTGCAATGCTGTCTGTTTTTTTCAAGCTGCGGAAAGCCCCTGCCAATGCTTAGCATTTTGCATCTTCACAGCACTGTACCAACAGTAAGTAATTAATCCTCAGACCTCCTCTGTGATGCAGATAAAAAATTTCAGGAATCCTGAACACTTGTGGCTTATTTATATGAAGTTATAAATAGGCAGTGGTAAGCTCTGCCTTTGGTAGTGTGTGACAGACATGTAGTTAGATGTGATAACCTGACATGTTTAAAAAAACACCTTAACTTAAAATACCTTTCATATATGTTTTTGTGTGGGGACACATATATATATATGTGTGTGTCTTTAGAAAATTGCTGGTGATTATATTTTTGTCTCTATGGGTGAGATAAGGAATACTTCCTACGGAATCTAAAGGCAGGCAACTAATGCAGATTTCTCGCCCGGGGAGACAGGACAGAAGGTTTCACCTAGTTTAAGAGGATCAAGATGACAAAGGACTCTAATGATTTTAATCTGGCAGCCCTCTTCTGGGAGAGACTTGCTTTCAGCGTAAGAAAAAACCACAGGACTAACTAACTATCCTGCCAGGAACTCTGTGAGGAAGCTGGGGAAGATGACATGGTAGAGTAAGCTTGTGTATCAGCTATTTATTGTATGTTTCTGATTTGATAGTTTATATCAATAACACATTATTAATACAGCATATACATATTTTAGTATATATAAATATTATAATTTTATTGCTTTAGGTAGACTATCCCTTTTCATCTGGCACAGCAACACTTTGCTTTCTGATTTCTTCATCACCTTTTTGCTGCCCCCATGACAGAGCAGCACATCCTGCACTACCTGGAGCCCTGCTGAGGCGAGTGCTGACCTGTGATGATGGCTTCACCCTGACCAAGGACAGGGAGGAACCAGCCTGCAATGTGCCATACAGTTACGTAAAGGTGTCATTTTGAGGGACCAAACCTCTAGCTGCTTGCTGAATGCTTTTCCTTAGTGGGAGTTTGCCTGAGGAAAGAGATAAATCCTGACCATTGTGTTCTGCCCCCCTAAAAGACTCCCTGCAAAGAGTTTCTTCTCATTCAGGAAATCCCATGCACCTTAAACATCCACTGTAGATGATAAGACTTATTCTACTCAACCAAATCAAGAGATGTAAATGCTAAAAAGCAATCCATTTTTTGACAGATTAAAAAAAAAAAATCTAAATTCTTCAATGCTGAGTTAAAAAACTGCACTTATGAGAGAGGTTGAGGAGCCCTTCCCACCCACTAAACTCAATCCAGGTTACCAATAATTTCTAGCTAGGCAGCAAAAGGAACAAAAAGGACCCTCTACGTCATCGAATCAAGTTTCCCGACTCCATAGGTACCATGTTATATAACCTCCTTCAGAAAGGTATCAAGCATTGCTTTAAGGAAAAAAAACAAGCTCCCTTTAAGCTTGGACTATCCTAATCTGAAGGCCATCACCTAACAAAGTTGTTGTAATGATTAGCAACCCTCTAATTTACAGTCTGAATATGTTCCTGAGTAGTATAATCCAATATAGTCCTTCAGTTTAACATTCCTCTTTTGGATGGTGTTGACTCCTCTGCATCCAGAGCACCATTCAGCCCTTGTTTTACACAAGCCAAGCCATGTTATCCTGAAAATCTGGGCTGGTCCTTGCTACATTTTCCTCTTGAAAGCCACATGGCATTTGGATCTAAAAAGCCCTTTCTGTTCACAAGCACCCTAAGAGGAGCCTGCTGCACTATCATCTTCAGTGCAGATGCCTTCACATAACTTTAAAGTCCTGAGAAAATAAACTAAGTCATTTTCTTTCCCTTTTCCGGCAGTGATCAGTGCCGGTCAGACTTGGAGAAGAAAGCGAGTTTTGGTGACTCCAGCTGTTTTCCCTAGCAGCCTGGTTTCATGGCAGCGGTCCCTCAGAGATGCTGCTCCCTGCTTCCCTGGTTAGGAGGCCATTGGTAAATCCTTCCCAAGGTCTACGTGGCTCAGGGTATCACTGCTTCCCAGAAGGCCATTTACACATTGTTTCCTTTCAGCACAAATTGCACTTGCTTACAAAACATTTACCCTTTTTTGCTCACTATTATTATTTTAAAGTTGTATTACTGGCAAGATTTTTCTCCACAAAATATATTGATGTGCCTTCAAGTTTAATATTTTGTGACTTCTTCCACCTTCAGACTCACCTAGATTGCTTTTGGGCTGTCCAAACTAAGCAGCATCTAAAGGAGACTTTGATCCTGAGGGAAAAGTTCGAACTGATACCACCCAGGGTGGCAGATCTCCAGCCAGGCTGGCACAGCCCAGCCAGCAGCCAGTTCACATGGCCCTGTCCCTTTCCCCTAAGGGGCATTTTGAAGGGCCAGCTGAGCAGGATGAACATCACCTTGGCCTGCCCTGGAGCACAGCTCCGCTTTAAAGTCATCACCGTACAGTTACCTGCTTTGATTTGCCGTATTGGAGCTAGATGTCATGTGCTTCACCTCCTACGTTCCCTCTCAGGGTATTCATAAAAGTCAACCAAAGCGGTAGACAGGCATCTGTCTCAAAACCTCTGCAGAAAAAGGTTGAAACTACGGATTTGTTCACACAGATGACTGAGGAATTGTTATTAAGTAAGTCTTGTCCCAACAGCGAGCTACTGACTTCAAAGCAAATTGTTTTTTGTCAGAAATTGATAGGTTTCGTTTTGTCTGGTACAACCATAAATTGTGATAATGACAAAGACTGATTAAAAAACCCACAGTTCTCTACTCATTCTAGTTTAGACATGCTTTGTAAAGAATAAAAGAATACAAAAAATGAAGAATTAAACTGAATAAAATATTTCAACTGGCTTTTTAAATGTGCAAGGAATGCAAAAAATAATTTAGAAGGCAATGCATTACTTCTTATTAAAAAAAAAATCCACTTAAAACTATGTAGAAGTTTGATTTTTAACTATCTCGAATAACAAATAAAACTTCATATTGCAATACCTAGGTGACAGTTGAGAGAAAAAAAAAGAAATCTGCAGCTATGTGCATTTGCAATGCTATTTACACTTTATTTCACATGAGCAGTCAATCAATATTTTTCACTACTACTTTCTCAAGTCTTTCACAATGCAGCCAGTAAAGAAATGACAGCATTCTCCCCATCACATCCCACAAGAGTAAACCTTGTAAGAACTGGCAGCAGTTAGACACAGTGTTTAGTACTTAGAAACAATCTTAATTTAAAAAAAGAAACTTTTTTAAGAAGGCCAGACAAGTTCTTTCTATAACAATTGAAGTGTACATAATTACTATTTAAATATATAGCTCACTACTGAAATTTTTTAAAGCTCATGAAGTCTGAAAAATTGCAATATACTTGCTACAAAAAGTTTTCCTCGCTCTGATCTCTCACAACCTGGGGTTTTCATATAGATTGTGGGTTTGTTCAGTAATTGATTTTTTCCTAAGTCATGATGTCTTTGAGGCATTTCATACAGGGGAGAGAGAAATAAACAAACACAACTCCAGTCTGGTGCTCTCCTTCTCCAGAATCCTGCTAGTAGGGTAAAGTCTGGAAAATCCACTCTTACTGGTTTTTATATTGGCTTGTATTTTTTTATTAAACTCTTTGATATTTGGGCTCAAAACCTTTTTCAAACCCATTCTCCTTCTCGGTATCTCTACAACTGAAAATGAGACATTTACATATATAAAATCAACCCCGTATAGGCACCTACATGGTGAAACAGTTATCTTTAAGCCTTCTATAGAATATTACACTTTCGAAAAGTCATTTGTTCTACAGTGTTTAAAAGATGAATGATTAAAATGACAGACGTGAATAAAGTCTTTTGGCAGACAGTTTTGTGCCAGGTCTGTTTATTATCAACATTAATAACTAAAATTCAAAGACTTCATGCACTAACCATGCATTATGCTGTGTGCTCTTTGAGGAATAACAGCCCGACATGTGTCAAAGACTAACATTCCCTTGGAAACTTGGGAAGGATTATCCTACAAAAATCTTCCTACATTATGACTAGATGTCATGCTGTGCAGTTATGCTGCTTGCTATTTGACAAATATCACAGTGACGTGAATGGTTACTCAGACTGCTGTACAAAAAAAGAACCGCTTTAGGAAAGTTGCTGCTTTGCTTATCGTTACAGATTAACTGGATTCTGACTTGAACCTGTAATTGTTTATTTAGGTAATACTCCACTTCTGCCTTCCTGGAGCTTATGGTTACTCAGTGATGGAATTTTACTGATTCACAGAAAATTTTAGAGTATAGATATCACACCACCTTTAGCCTCATTTATAACAGTGCTTGTTTTAGAAACGGCAAGATATGTTTCTTTAGCCAACTGACACAGTTTATACCAATAGGAAATACTCTGGATTTCTTCTTAGGAAAAATGTGACTGCACTGCTGTACTTAGAAACCACTCTGGAATTCACACAGAAAAGCCCTGCCCACAGTTAGCAATAATATACTGGGCTAGGAAATCTAAAGACAAATCAAAGTTATATAAAAGCATATAATCTGTACACATTACTACATTGACAGTAAGTGCTTCCAGACAAGGATTTATTGTATTGAGAGTGCCTACTGCAGTAGCTTTTAACATCTGTATCACCAGGCACCCTTAGCTGCTAATAAAGAGGCTGTGAAAAAAAATAACTAAGAAAAAACATCATATTGACAGCTGGCTTAAAACCACCACCAAACAGCAGTCTGTACCTTCACCAGAAAATTTCAGGAATACACAAGTCAAAAAAGGTTGAGGATCTCTCTGACTTACTACAATGGCATTCTTGTTCATAAAATGCTATTAAAAATAGAAAAAGTAACTCAACCTACTGAAAAGCAACAAGCTTCTTACAGATTCTTTTTAAATGTTCTGCTCTCACTTTACACAGATACATTTACCAAAACTTTCAACTAACTGAACCACTAACTAACTTTGCTAACCTTGGTTAGGTATTGTATATATAAGGGCTGAACGGTAATCTGTTACTGCAAGAAAATGCAAGTTCCACTTTTTGATCCTTCTACAGAATATAAGACACCGGGGCCAGAATTTTCCTAACAGCTGTCAAGAAAAGAGTTTGCTCAGAGAGAATTTTGCTCTAAATAGATATACGGTAAAATTTGAAGGGACTTTAATTAATTTGCAAAAAGGCCTCTGTACCGTTTTAATGATCTAACAACTTGCTGGAAGCAGCTACATCTCTCATATGACTCACGCGGTATCTGGTGTGACTGATCAGGTGGAGACTGCTGTCAGAAAAGACTACTGCAGGACCCTAATGGTGAACTCCAGTTTCACACATATATTTGGGGAAAAAGATAAAGCTCTTTTTCATTGGTTTTGGAAGAAAACTTCTGGTTTTAGCTCTGTTCTTGTTATCAAGACTACAAGCAAAGACAAAAAAAAAAAAAAATCACTTGTTGGTAGGCTTCCCCTTTTTTTTTCTTGTCCTAGTGTTTGGCAGGTACCAGAGGACCATCAGGGAAAAGATGGAGTTTACTACTTTCACCTGTTATTCAAGCTAACCTGAGGGTAGTTTAAACTACACAGTTGTAATGCAAAGCCAACATTTGGCAAAGGAATAGTCAGCCTATGTCCTTACACGCACATGTCACCCCAAATTCAATGGCCCTGTGGATGCCCTTTCTTCCACAACGTACATCGGTGACATGCCATTCAGTGGAACAATACCATTCATGCTGGCTAGCAGGCGGTGCCCTTTTCAAGCGGGTGATCTTTTAGCAAGACATTTAAGATGCTAAATTTCAGTAAAGCCATTTCCTGTTTTCACCACTCACTCACCTGTAAAACCTGCTCACCAGAACCTCGCTGGTGAATCCCATTCCTCCCCAAAACTGGAGACAGCTATCACTCACTTCACGGGCCAGTCGACCTGCCTTTAGCTTAGCCATGGAAGCAAATTTTGTCACATCATTGCCTTCCACATAGAGAGCTAAAAATGAAAGAAATAAAGAAGCGCGGTTATACACACTGATCACAGCCTGCCTCTGTGGCAATCACCTCCCCATGTCGCTTTAGCCTGACAACGTTCTCTGCATGAAGAGAAGCACATCTGGGAAGGCAGATGTGGGAGCTCACCCACGGTGCGGTACAGCAGCGAGCGAAGGAGCTCCACTTCGGTTGCCAGCTCGGCCAGGCGGAAGTGCACGGCTTGGTGGTGCAGGACAGACTGGTCAAACACTTTCCGCTGGCGAGTGTAGTCAATAGTTTCTTGTATTATAGTTTCCAGCGGTGTCAGGACTTGAAGAAGCAAAGCACAAAACAAGACATCATTTTAACCACATCGGTTACTTTTCTTCTTGATGAGAAAGATGTTTTTTTTCACATTGTACAAATAATACATTAGGTGTCTTCTAAAATGACTTACTCCATACGCCTAGTTTGGGGTGCAGTTTCAATTCTGAAAAAAGTCTGCTATTTCCTTGTACCTTGAAGACCTCTTTACCCCTATTTCACCTGAGCCCCAAACTGCCAAAATTCGGAGGGAAGTGAAGGGGGGGTGGGGAGGAGGGAAGGAAGGAAAGTCATGAAAAGCAGTACATAATGATGAGTATGTAAACTTTATCCGTCAGGCCTCATTTGTGGCCCTAGAAAAAGGTCATGGCAACTCCTGCTTTCCATGTCCCGAAGGTCTGAAGGCAGACTGTGTGCTCACTGAGGAATGCTGTAGAAATGCAAATTCAAGGAAGCTTTCAGGGAGAAGGCAGAAACCTATTCAGAGATCAAGGAATACAAACAGACTACTTACTACATCTGCATTCTGAGATCAGATCCCAGTACTGAAAGGAAGGGAAAAACGTTAAGATTCACGGCCACTTTTAGTAAATGCTCAACAGTGCTTCTAATGGAAACGGAGTAAAAATAGGATAGTGCTGGAAGACAGGTGACAGAGATGGCAGACACTGCTTTAAAGCAAGCAAACTAGTTCACTGCTAATTTTTGACCAAACTTAGAGATATCCTCTTTTAAACAAAAAGAAAATGGAAAAGTTTCTATTCCAAGGCAAAGCAGCCTTGAAGTGAAGGGCTAGGCTATCAGTCTCTTGCAGCATAGGCAAGATAACAGCAGGAGCTGAATTTGTGGAGAGTTTTGTTTGGCAAACGTAGACCCATGTCACTACGGCAAGCAGCAGGGAGAGGGAGAGACTTCACAAATCCACCAGTATGAGAAGGCTCACGCTTTCTCTTCAAAATACGCATATCCACATCCATTCACATTTAGAATCTAAATCACAAAACTCTGAATCTGAAATGCAAAATACAACCAAGCCCTGGACTACTACAAAATCCCTTTTCCCACCTGCCAGTTACTCACATGACAGCTCCTTACAGGAGGCTGGTGTGCTTCCACATTCCTTTTTGCATCACTTTAAAGATCACCTCTATTTAAACTTCATCCCTATACTGTTCTGCATCCCACCAACTGCTCCCTGCCACGATCATTCACCAGCTCCTGCACAGAACGCTATTTTCCACATGCTGTCCCAACGTTCAGTAAGGTGACCAGCTTTTCTCATTCCTTAAATATTTTCCTCTCCTTTCTCAAACAACTAGCCTAAATGCTTATTTTTCAGAAGCGCTTATACAATAATGTCCTCATTTCTTCTGTGTTAATTTACCATGCTGCCACCCTAATGCTCGTTTTCTGGACAGAAAAATAAATTGTTGTTTTCAGGGACATCTCTTGTACAGAGGAACATCCCTGTTCTTCCAAAGAGGACCATGCAACACAATACTGTAGCATGTGTAACACTAACAGCTTTTTCACTTGTATGTGTGTGGTCCCCAGCTTGAGAGATGCTAAAGAGCGAGCAAGAAGTGTCTAGGCACTTCTTGTCCCTTGCCCCCCAAACTGATACCTGGGAACATTACCACCAAGTCTGAGCTGCTGGGAGGGAAACTGAACAGTCCATGCCAGTGCCAGGGGAGCAGAAGGGAGGTGGGAAGGATAAGAACAAGGGATTAGTCTTGCGTTGGTCTGTCAGAGCAAGGTGCTCCAGCATGGCCCATGTGGTTCCCAGCATCCAGCACCAGGGAAAGAAGAGATGGGAAACGGCAAAGAGGAGGCAGGAGCAGGACCGGCTGAGAAGGAACAGAACAGCACTTATTTAGCTCCTGCTTGCAAAAGGGCTGAAGATCATGAAGGGGTTTTGGCCCATCTCTGCTCAGGCTGTCACCACGCATCAGGCCTGGGAGTGGGGGACTTGAGAAAACTGCTCTCACAGTGTCCACCTCTGATTTACTGCCTCCTTCCTGCCCCAGCTGATCCATCCTCCTGTTTCCTCAGCTGCCATCACTGCCCTTCTGCTTATTCCTGGGACTGCTGTTTCCACACCGAAATAAACAGAGGAAACCTTCTAAGGACAGTCCTGGGCTGCATCAAAAGAAGGCTGGCCACCAGGTCAAGGGAGGTGATTCTCCCCCTTTACTCAACACTGGTGTTGAGTACTCCACCTGGAGTACTGCGCCCAGCTCTGGAGCCCACAGTACAAAAAAGACGTGGACCTGTTGGAATGAGTCCAGAGGAGGGCCATAACAATGATCAGAGGGCTGGAGCACCTCTCCTATGAAGAAAGGCTGAAAGAGTTGGGGTTGTCCAGCCTGAAGAAGAGAAGGCTCCAGGGGGGCCTTGTCACAGCCTTTCAATATATAAAGGGGGCTTATAAGAAAGACAGAGAGAGACTTTTTACTGGAGCCTGTAGTGACAGGACAAGGGGCATTGGTCTTAAACTGGAAGAGGGTAGATTTAGATTGAACATAAGGAAGAACGTTTTGGGGTTGGAACTAGACAATCGTTAAGGTCCCTTCCAACTCAAACCCTTCTATGATTCTAAGAAATTCTTTATGATGAGGGTGCTGAGACACTGGAACAGGTTGCCCAGAGAAGTTGTGGATGCCCCATCCCTGGAAGCGTTCAAGGCCAGGTTGGATGGGGTTTTGAGCAACCTGGTCTAGTGAAAGATGTCCCTGCCCATTGCACGGAGACTGGATGCAATGATTTTTAAAGGTCCCTTCCAGCCCAAACCATTCTGTGATGCTATGACTACAGGTATTTAGAACTATGAGCATAGCTCTAACACAGCAAAGCTTAGCCGTGTAGCAAACAGCAACGAAGCGCAGCACATCGTGTATACCAAGACTGCCAATAGCCTTATATAAGATAACAGCACACAATACTTTGCCAGTCATATAAGAGAAATGCCATTTTTAACAGTAAAACTAGCTTCTCTCTGAACTTTCTTCTTTCTCCCCCCCCCACCCCGTATTTCTGTTTCCTCTGTTGTCATACAATGTTCTCCACATCCCCAGACAAACTTGGCCCCATGGATTTCAACTGACAGCACATGCAGGAAATGGCACTCTAGGGCAGCCTAAGGAACGCATGGTCTACCACACAGCTGAGAATTGTGAAAGCATTTGAAGTTGCCAGATGCAGAATAATCTTTTCCTCGTACCTCCGTCCAACTGATATTTTTCCACTTGAAACTTCTGCTCACTGTAAACATACTTTGCCTTTCTACGTCTCCTCTTGAAACAAAAGGAAATTAATGTATTTTTATTAGGCTATGGTGGATCACTCTCTAGTGAGATGTACAATGAGCTCCAAGCTTAGCAATCTGTCTCTTAAGGACGTGCACTGCCGATGCAAAAGGATCTGTCATCCTGCTTACTGGCCATGACTCAATGGTGCTCATAAAACTGAGACTATAGGAGCAGATAGAAGTCATTAGAAAAGTGCCATTCTGCTCTCTCACACACACTGAACTCCCTCTTTGCCTCCAAGTTAAGCAATTCACAAAAAACCTGTTTGGTTTCTTGCCATAGCAACATTCTTTTCCTGTGATCAGTGCAACAGGTCCACAAATAGATGGTGTTTACCGAGTGTCACAACATGGGAGAGATACGTGGCAGCTCTTCTCTTTCAGTGAAGCAAGAAACGCAGCGACTTTTACCAATGCCTTCGATAATATGTCACTTGGAAAAAAAGACCACACCTGTGACCAAATATTGCAATTCCAGGAAATTGATTTTCCATTTATATTTTAAATCCATTTGACTGAAAATTCATTTTAAAAGGAAAAAAAAAGGTGAAGAAGGAAGGAAACTCCCCACACGTCCTGAAATCTGGCCACAAAGAAGGTAATTAATAAACAAAGAGAAGGCTGGAGCACATGATACTTGATACTAAAAATACATAAAACCAAAACCCAAAACAACCTCCCCCAAAACACAACAAAACAAATCAATGCCCAAAAAGGAAAGAAAGAAAAGAATGGCAGTCAACTGCCTCTTCCAAGTTTTAGGAAGCTGAAAGTGATGGATGCCAGGACTGGTCCCTAAAAGCAAACTGATGATTTTCAATCTCACATGAATAGTCATGAACTGGGAAGGAACAGAAACGTCCCTCTGAGGGCCAGAAGTGAGGACTAGTATTACATGTGCAGACCTAATCTCAGAACTACTGAAGGCATGTACACAGTTTTCCACACCTGAGCCTTCAGCAGAACACTTGTGGTTGAACATACATAAAACAATTTGCAGGACTGGAAGTTAACAGCTAGATGTCGTGGTGTAACAAACCACATCCATCAAGCACCTGGCTCCCCTCTGAACATCGGCTACTCTTTTTTCTTGTTCACCTCAACTCTAGGTTTGCGACTCGGCCTAAACCACAGGTCTTGTCCCTGCTCCCAGTGCTTTCATGCATTTTGTATCAGATAACGGATAAAAGCAAAACCAGAGGGCCCAGCAAAGTATAACACACTGGCCACCACGCTGCAGGAGGCAGCTCCCTCTCCCTTGGGGAGCTCCAAGGCTCTTCCTCCCTGACGGCCCCTGCCTGGCCACGGCGGGGGGGGACGACGAAGATGCCCTTCCCAGACTGCTCATCCAGGGCGAGGGTTGGCCTGCTCCTGCTGTGTTGTTCTGGGGAAAAGAATTGAAACCTGGTGTCCTGCTTCCTGGCAGAGCACGGTGACTGCCTGGCAGTTGTGCAAGGCTGGACAGTACCAAGCTGCCAGTGGTTTTAACAAGAGTGATCTAACCTGCCAGGCTTTGTGTTTTGATGCTGTGAGCACACGTCACTTGCCTGTGGCATGACTAATGCCGTGGGTTACTCTGCTGCCTGGGGAGTATCGCTGCAACCCAGAGTTTCTGATTGTTTTGTTTAACTTAGACTTCAAACTGCACAAAATGCATAAAAATGCACAATGTACGATCTTGCAGCCTGTGTGTGCTTTGATTAAAGCAGGACCAGCAGGAGACCACGTCTCCTCCTTGCCTGAGTCTGCGGTGGCATCCCTTGCAAGTCTAACCTCCTGTTCTTTGCTAAAACTACTCTCACATTTACTATTGATCTCAGGCTGAACTAAGAATTTTGGCCCAAATGAAAGATTTTTTTTTAAAGCATTTGTACTCTAAGATATTTGGTCTGGGATCAACCCACAAAAGGGAGTGATTTTTTTATTTGGTCACTGAATCAGAAAATCACTTCTTGGAGTTCCCGATTCCCCAACCACACTCAGACAGTATCAGACAGGGTATGCACAGGAACACGAATACGGTGAGATTATTTATACAACCCTGAAATTTAAAGGGGACCAATGTTCTTACAGTGCACCACATTACATTTAAGTTGAAGAAGCAAACACTATCAGGTGAGGGGGGAGGTTGGGAGGCTGAAAATGGACAAACCAGACTTGGATCTGGTTACCTGGAATATCCATAATCTGTATAACTCAACTATGTGGATTTGAGTGTGGCCTGAGTTCAGAGCAACAGGAACTCTGTGACAGCTTAACTTCAGGGAAAGGAACTAGGTGCTGTACCACTTATGTCCAAGGTGTACAGAGGTAAACCAGATAGCAAAACAAAGCTCTTACATCCTGTAAGAGGCACTTCTTTACACAGCCACTAAGTTAATTTTCTACAATCCAGGATAAACATCATAGTTTACTGTACTACAGGAAAAGTCACCGTCCTTCTATTTCATGCCAGTAGTTTGATAGCCTTTGTACTATATTTGTAGCAGACATAACACGATGTCGTATTTTCTTATCATCAGAAAAGCACCAAGAAAAAGAAACAAGGCAAAACCAGCCTCTATGATGTCTCACAAAAGATTTTCTATTTCAAGTTTTCCTACAGAAAGGGAACGTTGTCTGTATCCAGGCTATGACAGATTTCAAAAACAGATCATAAGAGGTCATTGCAATTTACAATACAAGGAAAGTGCTGTTACTCATGCGAAGGGTGACCCCTGTGTCCCCTGCCCGGCCCCAGAAGCACAAACGATGACTTACCAGTGGCTACTCCCCACAGCCGTTCTTCTTGGAATTGCAACATCTGATATGTAAAACCCTTTCCTTCCTCACCGATGAGGTTTTTGCTGGGGACCCTTACGTCTTCAAAAAAGATCTGAGCTGTGTCTGATGACCTCATGCCCAGTTTGTCTATCTTTTTAGCAACACAAACGCCTGAAGAAAAAGGGGTATTAGAAAGGCCACAAAAAAATACAAGCGCTATGTACAAGTACAGCGTTTTAACAACGCGAAGTTTGCAGATGTGAAGGTATGTGCCAAGACCACAGTGAAACCTACCTTTAGGAAAAACATAACAGTATTCTGGAATTTAAGAGTAAAATGGCCCACATCCTATTTTTAAGAGTTTTTCCATTTTATTTAACTAGCAAATCAGAAACTGCAATTGTAAAGGCCCACTTCTCATTATGTCCCCAAATAATCACTGTTTACTAGTAGTAATAATCTTAGTTCATGCACATCTTGAAACAATGCAGTATTTATTTGCTTATGTTTGATTTTTAGTGCACTATAATAAATCGCTGAGAATTCAATTTAGCAGTATTTGCTGAGTGCCTGTGCCGCTGTGAAACAGTAGAGAAGTAATTAACAATGTCATTTAACAATGACAAAAACAGAGCTAGGTTTTTCCCTCCTGGAAATCTTCTTCCTTCCTTCTCTTCCACATTTATCCTCCCCTTTCTAGCCTATGCTGATTTTTTTCTGGTACCTGTAGAAGAGAGACTTTATAATCACAGCACACCACTTTTTCCTAATAATAAAAAGTTAGACTCAAACTCCTAACTGCTACAAACATTCAACAATTCCATATCAACTCCAAATTGTGTTAAAACTATGTATTTTGTGATGGCCTACAAAACACTGTTTAGTTCATCTAAGTAGTCATAGGAGGGTTCATAATGATCACAATTCATTCCTCTGAGTCTTCCTGTGGACATGCTTGTGAACAGGGTTTGCTTCCCCCCCAGACCTCCCTATATACAGCACTGACTCTGACCCCACACGCAATGGAGTGTCGGAGATGAGCCTTTGAGTTTGGCCACGTAAGACTTCAGCTACCTGGTCACACAAGGTAGGACTCCTGCCTGTTGTTTGGTTTTTCCTAGCTACAAGTTCTTTCTTGCTATTGTTCAGATGCACGCATGGCTTACCACTGTGCCATGAGAGTTTAACAGACATCCACTGATTTTTTTTGTGGTGATTCTCATCTTCAGTTTTTACCTCCTTGTTACTCTGGGGCTAATGCGAATATTCGGGATGGAAGTCGAGAATGTTTCAGAGGTAAACTGAGGCCATCAACCAGGTATGAGGATTTGTACATCTGACAAATCAATATACATAAAGAGTCCTCCAAATCAGCATATATGTCTTTGCAGAAAATCAAACATTTTACTACCCACATACATGGTATTCTAACCAGTTTTGTGAGGAGGAGGTATTCTGGTAATATTTTCCTCTTTATTCTATTTTTTTTCTATCTTCTACTACTATCTAATGTGGCTTAGAGTTGGTCACTGCACAGAATGTTGTGGTTCCTCTCTATTCTTGTTCGTACCTTGCTATCCTTCATGGCTTTCAGTGAATGTCTCTTTCTGAACTAATATAGACATCTCAACTTCTACTGACAGGAGGCCTTCAGCCATGTGAAAATTACTTTGGTTTTGCAGGCAGAAGAAGTTGGCAGTCATTCCCTTCAAATTCACTCTCTCTGGCTGCACTGAATAAGGTTATGGAAAGTTGCATCTCTCCACAGAGATGAAATATTGACAACATTTCCAAAAGCCATGACTGCTCTCAGAATAAGGTCCACATAGACTTCCACACCTTCCACCCAAGATTCTTCTCCACCAGCCAATCTATCAACAGATTATGTGTTAGGAATACTTGCTTTGATGTGTGTTCAACACAGGAAGAAAATCAGGACAGCTGTATAAAAATTTTTGACTCTTGGATTGAAAATTATCCAGCAATTTGCACCCAGTCATGCCAAAAAAGCATTTCTGGTTTATTTCTGTATTAAAATCAAAGCTAAACAAACACACACTGAACCATTTATAGGCCCAAATGATTTCTGGAACATCTTTTCTTGTTGGAATATTACTGCTTTGTCTCTCTGAGAGTCTCAGAGATCATGTCTTCGGTCTACTTCCAGCTGGTTTTATGCAATCACTGCTCCTCACCCATACAAGGATGCACTTAGTGCTCTTGTTAGTGGGTGGTTTACTAAGGACTCTACTGGAAAAAGTACAACTGCTGCCAGTTCTTTATATTCCCAAATCAATCCTGTTGTGTACTTGCCCAGATCCACATACAACAACAACTATTGAAGAAAGCTCTTACAGGTTTGGTTAGAGGAGCTAAATGTGTTAATGATTTCTATTCGTACTTCTTCCAGATCGGGTTGTGTGTTCAAGTTTCCTGAATCCAGCAGCATCCCCTCTTTGTTTTGCCTTACCAGTTTCACTTGCTTTTAGATTAATTTGTATTTCTCATTCAGAAGGAGGCCAAACTGCATCAGCCTCATGTAGTGCCCCCTGTGTTGCAAGCACATCCTTTATATTTTCTCTTTTTTTAAGACAATGATACATAATCATCTCTTTGGCTACAATATGGGCATCAAAATCTTCCCTTACTTCGTTTAGTTTTCTTCATTCTCTTCATAAGGAGTGCTACATACTAAAAATTACCAGCAGCAGTAGAATCATCTGCCCAGATAACTCCTGGAGTTAGTCTGTATTAAATAAATTACAAGCCATCTAATAACACACAAATCTTAATCTAGCAAGGCCAAGTACCTGAGTTACTAAAATCACTCTGACAGAGCCATTTGTGCTACTTGCACCAGTATAACTGAGATGGACTGCTATATCTCTTCCTGGGCAGTCCTTCCCAGGCGTCTTTTGATTTTTCAATTTTCTCCCATTCCTCCGGTCTTCTGACAATCTCTTTTATTTCCTATATTCTGTCTTGAGAGAAAGGCAGTTGCTCTCTCCTGACACCCTTTAGTGCCATTACAAATGGAAAGAGGCACATTTTAAATTGCAGCCTGAGAAACACGCTCTTTCCCCTTTCCTGGGTGCTCTTCTCGGTTATCTCCTCCTTGCAATCTACCCTAGTGCTATCTGAGGACTCAGAGGACAAACCAGTGCACAAGTAGTTACCAGATTAGGGCTGCAAGCCATCTGTCTATATATCTTACACACAGATGTTTTACAACTTGTTAGATTCTCTTTCATCATATGAGAAAGTCAGCTTTTTTTTAACACATCATTAGTATGAGGAGCATTCACTTAATTTGGATATCTGTTGTGAATCCACACTGACGTTATCCAAATTCCCTTTATGAGAAATGTATTCAGCAGTGTCTGTCAAATCTAGACCATGATTTGCTTCACCCCAGAATAGACACTGTACACACCTAAAATTAGAAGAAGCAAATCCTACTTCATATCTCCAATAAATTACCAGTTGTTGAATTTAATAATTCACTTTCAGACTTGGAACTTTTTTTTATCACTGCATTGTACAAGTATGAAACTATTAAGATGTTCATGAGAAATGCTGGACTAGTCTCCCATGGCCTTCCAGCTGCTAGCAAGGAATGAGTAACCGCTGCGCCATGGATCCCTTCCTTACCCTGCCATATAGGCTGGGGAGTGCAGCAGTTAGTCAGACATAACATGCTCGTTCTTGAGCTTTGACACACATACATCTACAGACGCTTGATAGTGCATCATTTGGTGATGTCCTCCAGGCACTTCCCGTACAGTCTTAGTCTGCTGCCCTCCAAGGAGCACAATCTTTGGCAGACAGACATCCTTAGGATGTACCAAAACAGCTGGGGCTTCCTCCTCACATCTGTGTCAAATGGCAGCCTTTTCCATACTTTTCCTCTTTGCCTTCCTGACAAATCTCACTTCTGATATGACCCACCCACTGAGCACAATCAACTGTCTTAATACTTCATTTCAAAAGGTCACCAATCTTGGTTACAGTGACCCTTTTGGAGGTCAATATCTGTATCATGAATGAAAGCACATACACTTTGAGGAGTGCCATTTTTGTGTCTAGGAAGACTTCTACACTTCTGCAGATCAACTTCAGGTGACTCAGGCAATTTTTCTACTCAAAATCTATTTACTGCAGGTAAAGAAGGTCTGTGTACAGGCCTGTTAGGTCAGTGTAACCTAACAACAACCCCCCACCCCAAAGCTACAATGACTCGCGCATCTTTTTGGAATAAGTAAAGTAGCTGAAAACCTCCAAATCAGTTTCTGTATATGTGATCTGCCTCTAACAGTGGGTTGGCTGCTTTGTTGTTTTTGGAAAACTGATCTCAGAGAAGTAGTATTGAATTTGCACTCTGACCCTTTCCTGAAAAATCAGAAGGAGGACTTCATGCAGTTGGCTGATAAGTGAGTTTACCTGGAAATTCAGGGAGATTCTGGTTCCAAGTTACATGTTCGCTCATCACTTACCGACAAGGACAAAGTCGACAACTAGTGAAGCAGCTCAGGTCCATCTTCTCTGAGCTCCCTTTCAAAGCCTGTCTTGCATGAGCAACGGTTGTAGACACTCACAACCCACTCAGAACTTGGCTTAATTCCCAAGGCAACTCATTTGCTTGACTGACTTCACACTGAAATTCACTTACAAGACATTCCCTTAAGTAGCTGTCATCACCCTCTTTTGCAACACTGGAGACCTGGGTTTTGTTCGCAGTCTGATCCATCAAGTGAACATATGGACCTTCACTTCATTGCCACAGCGGTGTCCCTACATGTGAAATGCTGATGATGAGATGTATTTTGTATGTAAAATACTCTGAATTGACTGAACAAAAATGCTGTAGGTTTTAATATTTGTTATTATATATTAAATTAATTATAAAACTA